TCTTACTGCAGGTGCGCGGCGGCTTCTTCCACCTCCGGTCCGCTATGGCGGACTGTCTTCCTCGGGCGGCCACCTCAGCTATGGCGCATCGGCCCTGCACACGACGGCGCGAGTGGGATAGCGGGAACCAGCTCTGATACCAGTGCAATCAGACTCGACTCAACCACACTTTTCATGCACGTGAACAGCAGCACAACAACTGGCGACATGCGCCCACACAGTACACAGAGATATGGCTTCCAGGTAAGTTCACTTCCACTGGCTATGGCGACTGAGCGCCCAACATCCACTGTTCACACACTGGATCACCCTGGATATCCCACACACGGCACTCTGCACACTCACACAACACACACACACACATGCACTACTCTAGCTATGGCAGCGCTGCTGCCACTACCCTATCGCTATGCTAACTTCTCGGCCCACTTCGACTTCGGGCCTCCTGCAGACCTCCTTGCACAAGACGCTGAGGCAGCGCTTCCGCATGGCTTCCGCATGAATGAATGAATGGCTGGGCGCGGCCTCTTGATTTATACTTCTGCGACGCGTTGGTCTGTCCTGTTTCCCTGGCCCCCGTGTGCATGCAGTCCCAGACCGTACTTGCTTGACAGCACCGGACTGCCTGGACTGGGACTGTTGACTCAGCGTGGTGGACTCCTACCACTTGCCCACTTGCCTCTGCCTAGACATGGGCTGACTCCAAAAGGCCACTTCTAGAAACCTCTACTTTGGCCTTTCGGGACTGTAGCAGCTACGACTCTGCCCTTTCAGGTAAGTAGCAGCTACGACTTTGACCCTTCGGACAGTCTACCGCTAAGACCTGTAGACTGCCTAAACTTCTACCCGACAGGTCTACAGTTCGACTCCCTTCTACCCTATAACCTACGAGATCTTTCCTACCACTGGCGGTCCTACCGGTCGCAGGTTCAAGTCTACGGGTTGACACAGTTACTGTACACAGGTAAGGTGGACTAAGGTGGGGAACTAGGGATCGAGCCCTGCGAACTGCATCAGCTACTGCAAGGTGGTGAATACCGTTTCACTCGAACTGTTCCACGTATGTTTTTCATATGGGACGCTGGGCCCGGTTCCCAGCAGCACGTGTTGCTCCCCACGAATTGATTGGAGCACTGTTTGTAAAAAAAAAAAAAAAAAAAAAAAAAAGGCCTACGGCTGTTCTAATGAACTCACGGGGCTCTATAAAGTTGGCGAGGTCACAACCCTTCTCACCCGAAGTGGCTGGCACCTAAGCCGCGTGAGGTGGTGTTGTTGAGGAGAAGAGTAGTCCGGTGGAAGTGAAAAGGAGGGACGATTCGATCTGAAGACAGTCGCCGCTTCCTTTCTCCTGTTGCTGTCTTCCTTTCTCCCTCTGCACCTATCTGCTCATTCTGCTGTGTAGAGTTCGGAACCAGCAACGTGTCTGGAACGACCATGGCTCGGCGATCGTCAGGGCGTTTCGGTTGTGAGAACATGGCCTCTACGGCCCTTTACTTCCTTGTCATCGCATTGCTATTGACGTCAGCAGGTCCCAGACAGGCTCACGCCGGGTTGCTGGGCGTCCTTGGCGGGTATTCGTCATGTCAGAGCGCCTGCAACGCGGCCTGGGTGCTCTGCTACAGCACAGCAGGGCTGGTGGCTGGCACAGTGACGGGAGGGGCGGCAGCTCCAGCGGTGGTCATAGCTTGTAACTCGCAGCAAGCTGTGTGCATGGCGGTATGTGCGGCGGCATTCCTTGCGGCCCCAACGCCCTAGTCGTGCGATACGTCTGGGCAGAATTGTATCTGATCAAGTGCAGAGAGCTACGTGTGGGCAGAACGATATGTCATGAAGCGCAGAGATCTACGTGTGGGGGGTAAACTGTGGAGGCGATGGACGGATTCTGGAAGAAGCCGAGGGGAGAGAAGAAGAAGTGGCCACCGTCCTTTTCACGGCTGAACTCACGGCCTGCTTCTTTCTTAGAGCAGTTCCATTCATATCTGTGGTCCATTGGACATTAGGAACGGCCAATAAAAGGAGTTTGGGAAGTATCGACTTTCATATCATCTGAACCGAGGTTCATATTACAAAAGGGGGGGGGGGGAGAGCGGGGCGGTAAGAACATCGATACGTTTTCTATTTTTGTTCGTATGTTTTTCTGTACTCTGGGTTGTCTAACGTCCTCGATGTCCGTTAATTTCATGTTCTTCGTTTTCGATGGCATTGCATCAGGACTGTAATCTGTAGCACGCTGTAAACTTAAGCATGCTTGACGAGAGTGTCTAATAACAATAAATACGGGAGTTCGGGACGCTCGAGATCTAGCGTGCAACATGTAAGTCACGGCGACGTATCACTCACTGGACGGGCTCGATGAGAGGAAGAGTCCGCGGAAATATGGACAGAAATACGGCTTCACGGGAGTTGTAAATATGTAACAACAACGTCATGATGGGAGTGTCGGACGCTCGAGATCGAGCGAGATGTAAGTTACCACGACGGACCAGTAAAATGGACGGAAAAATGGATAGAGAGGGAGGGACGAGGGTTGGCGGAAAAAAGGGACAGAAGGGACAAAGGTCAGCGGGAAGGTGAACAGGAGAGAGGAACAAGCCGCCGAGCACGACGTGCAGACGGACCTCTCTTATTGACGGGCGGGCATGTTTAGTTGCGAAGCTGAGGAGAGCTTGTGCCTGTACACTTTCTCTCTTTGCTCTCCTCACTTCGCTGCTCTTTCTCAGAGTCTGTCTTTGGAGCATGTGCCCGCAGAACTACTTCTTCCCTCTTCTTTCCTGACTTTGCTGCTCTCTCTCTGTCTACGTATCGTATGCAGAGAACGGTTTACTTCTTTGAATGAAAGTGCAGTGATGTACAGAGAGGGAGGACGATCATCGTATAGAGGGTCATCTTTCATTTTGATGGGCGTTTAGCTCTGCAGGGAACATGGAGATGTAACAGTTGTGAGTGCACGTTTTCTTGAAGACGTGCCCAACAAGCTTGTAGAGTGTCGTTAAACTTTGCTGGAATAGAGTCTTCAAGAAAAGATCTGCAGACTTGTGCCCGCCAGTTGACGCTGTCGGAAGTTTCCTCTTGTACTATGTATAGATGTACTATTTCTTTGTGATAGTGAAGCCGCGGGCACATCGTTGATCATCTTGGTGGGAATCCTAATCCTGACTTTGCTTCTCTCGCCCTTGTCTTCGGATCGTATGCCTACACGGGCTCGTCTCTTTCAACGTCCTCTTTTCTTTTCGTTATGGTGGAGCGTTTCTCCTTGCTAATGGGCTTTGGGGGGGGCTGGGGGGGCGCGCGGGTTGCTAATTTTTCTCTGAATCGCTCCATGGCATCTGTAGTCATTTCTGTCCAACGATTTGTGTATTTTCCTGCTTACTCTGTTTGGGCTTTCGTTGCTGTGGCGATCGGCCAAGGTTCTGAAAGACAATATGATCTCCAGACGCGTGCAAATGGTAGGCGATTTGGGGGTTGGGAATTAGGCCCTTGATGTGCTTGATAATGTCATGCTTGCGAAAGGGCCGCGCTTACGCTTTCTGGGCATCAGGACCCTCTCTCTCTCTCTCTCTCTCTCTCTCTCTCTCTCTCTCTCTCTCTCTCTCTCTCTCTCTCTCT